AAAGTATTGAACAATCAACAGAAAAACTGCAGAACGCTGTCAGTGAAGTTCAAAATTGGACCAAAAAATGGCGAATAAAATTGAATGAAACCAAATCAATTCACGTTGATTTTACAAACAAAAATGTAAATCACATACAAATCACAATTAATGACACCCCTATACCATATTCAAATCAAGCTGAATATCTTGGTATGACGCTTGATGCGAAATTGCGCTGGAAAGCACATGTTAAGAAAAAAAGGCAAGAGCTTGAATTTAAGTATAGAAAAATGTACTGGTTAATTGGAAGGACGTCCAATTTAACCATACATAACAAGTTACTACTTTATAGGCAAATACTGAAACCAGTATGGGCATATGGAATTCAACTTTGGGGTTGCACTAAAGATAGTAACATACAAGTTATTCAAAGATTCCAAAATAAAGTACTAAGAAACATTGCTAATGCACCTTGGTACGTTCGAAATAGTGATCTACATCGGGAACTAGGAATTGATACTGTAACAGAGACTATAAGAAAGTACGCAAAAAGCCATGAAGATAGACTACATCGGCATGTGAATGTGGAAGTGATTGAGCTCCTAGACAATACTGAGCTAGTCAGAAGACTGAGAAGGGTGAAGCCGTTCGAGCTAGTGAACTGAAATTGAAAAACACAACAAAACAGTGCTATAAACACATCAAAATTGTGATTTACAGTTTAAGCAAAGTGGGGAAAACTGTTGAGTGAACCTCAAGAATTGTAAACTTTATAGTAAATTAGGTTAAAACAAAATTGCTAATTAGTCTTACTGACTAGATTGTAATGTAATAAACACAATGTGTTTGACAAATTTAAAAAAATAAATAAAAATAGTTATTTATGATATAAGTGTTAAAAGTACATTTTTAAGGCACGCATGTGAAAGTTTGCAGAATGAGCGAAGCGAATTCTGCAATTCACATAAGTGCCTTGAAAATACTTTTAATACAAATATCATACAATATTTTTTCTACAAACGGCAATAAGAAGCAATAACCAGTAACAAATTGGATTTCTAGATGAATAATAAGTTGGAAGCATCTTTCCTACATAAAATTATTGAATTTGACATTTGTCATGAAATTAAATGTCTTGTCAGTTTCTTGAAAGTATGTCGTGATCAGTAATGCTTTTTGCTGATAATGCAACAAAATACAGAAGAAAAAGAGGGTTGCATCGATCCCTTGCAAAATATAGATGAGGCGGCTAATCGGGCTACCTCAGTTGTTCAAATTTCACCATTAATAACAATATAGATAACTAAAAATACAAACTTTTTTTGACGTTCGCTCTCAAAATTTGATGTTTCATTTTTAACACTAGTGCTATAAAGACTTTATGGCACTAGTGCGATAAAGTAACATTTTTAATGCTACGGAGGGGTGTTAAAAATTGCATTTTTGACACGTTTGTAGAAAAATGTTTTTTTTAGTAGGTATTTCGGTTCAAATTAAAAATACTATAATATAATTAGGTTGTACCCGGTTAAAATTCTCAAATTTGGAATAGGTGTTCTTTGGGATACCGCCTAGAACCTAACGGAGCCAGATTTTTCAATTTCGATCCAGAAAAAAAATTAACGCAAAAAATGGGTTATAGCGCAAACTTTTCGCGCGTTTTTTCTCTGATCCCACGTCGAAAAAAGTCGAATCCCATCCATGTTCGTCGTGTCTTCGCACAGAGACAGTGTTGCCAAATAATTCTTTTCAGTTAAAAAACCCGAGAAATTGAAATTGACCACTAAAAAAAAGGTGTCCATTTTTTTTTCCAGTTGCCTGGCGTGGAGAAAAAAAATAAATAATTTTTTCTGCGACTGACAAGAAAATAAGAAATGTCAGCTCATTAATGTCGGAATACCATGAGTGCCATGATGCTATTGGCCATAACAGCTATGACGTAATTTCCGGGCGGTAGGTAAATTATAACGTTTAAAATAAGTACAAATTTGGGAATTTTTTTTACGTATGTTTTTGTTTTCTAAATTCAAAGAATCATCATCAACTACCTACTACCTACTATTTGTTTTGTTATGCAGATTAACAAAAAAACTATTTCAAAAAATTGTCCACTACCCTATTATGTTTCAATAGTTGCTAAGGAATCAATGAATAACAATACAGTACAGAAATCATTTTTCCCGCCTAGGCCGGGAAAGTGATTCTCGTAATGCTGAATAATTGGAAGAAAAAGACAAACATTTAACAGATATTTGAGCTATTGCAGAAAAAATACACTGGCCAGCAAAATTAACGCACCACTACTATAGTTTGAAAAATATTTTTTAATTCATAATATCGATCTACTTCATGTCGCACGTTGCATGTTTCATGTTTGCTGTTTCCAGTTTCTATGTTTCCAGTGTCACCAATGAAAAATCGTGCGACATGAAGTAAATACCGCGAGTAGACTTGTGCCGCATATATCCAATGTGAAAACGTACAATGTCTCGGGATGATCGTACATTGGTGCAGTAAACGCGAGTACTTCATGTCACACGTTGCATGTTTGATGTTTCATTGGGGTACTACCGCACTTGGAACAATATACGTTTTTACATTGGATATAATATGCGGTACAAGTCTACTCGCGGAGTTCATGTCGCACGTTGCATGTTGCACGTTATTTTATGTTTCCTTGGTATACGACGGCACTAACGCTGCGCGGAGCATTGATCAGAAAATTTTTGGGGCTAGAATTTTTGGCGCAGACTACTCATCTGGATTTCTGATTTAAAGAGAAATGCAGTGTGACGGGCAACAAACTAGCGGATAAGCACACAGGGTGACATTTACAAACTTACAATGGCTATATTTCAGGAACCAAAAAAATATATAAAAAATCGCTGGAAACAATTTCTAGAGTAACTAACTTTTTTTTGACTCACCCCCTCACCCCCAGCCACCGCAACTTAATATTCTTAAATGACATCCCCCTACTTGTGATACCTTATCTGAAAGCTCTTAAAAAGTGCTTTTTAATGGTACCCTACAAGCTAGGATTCGATGTAATAATTGTCAATAATTTTCAAAATAAAACCATTGAAATGTGAATTGAATTTTTGACTATTAATTTAATAAACATTTAAAAACATTTTTTTCTACTGACGTTTCATAATAGCAACTTTTCGATTGTCATTTCAGTTTTGAAACGACATTCTTTTAGGCACTGAGTGCGTGAAAGTTACTTTTAGGCACTCAGTGCGTAAAAGTGACTTTTGAATGCGTAAAAGTGACTTATGAGTGCGTAAAAGTAATTTTTAAGCACTAGTGCCTAAAAGTGTCATTCATTATTCAGAAATAAAAAACAACACTAACCACATATTTGAATTTTGTTTTGTATTTATTATGAATATTGAAAATGGAATTACTGAATTGAACGTTTGGGTTACTCAAAACAGAACTTTGTGTTATTACCTACTTTCTAGGATTTTAATTATTGATGCCGAATTTTGAAAAGAAAATCGCATGAAAAGTGTCAGGTGTCAAGTGAAAGCAGGTGACAAAGATTTTGGGTGTAATCGACTTATTCACATGAAATAAAATTGTGTTTTTTTTATTATAAAATGCCAGTAGAAAAAATCTTGTATACAATACGTTACGAAACGATGTCTTTTAGTCACTCGACGTGTTGTCCAACTCGGCTTTGCCTCGTTGGACAATTTTCACGTCGCGTGCCTAAAAGACGCTCATTTCGTAACTTATTGTATAAATAGCTATTTTACTATCGTAGCATTAATCTTTAGGCTTAAACATTTTAGGCTTGTAATATTTTTTGTTTATTCGTTGTTTTGGGAACCTGAAAAAATTGACAACTCTAAAAAAATACAATTTTAATTTAAATGAATGAAGTTTTATTTATCCTAGAAACCAAAAACAATTACATCGAATCCTAGTTTGTAGGGTAGGTACCACTGAAAATAATTTTTTAGGAGCTTTCAGATAAGGTATCACAAGTAGGGAGTTGCTATTCGAGATTATTTAGTTGGGGTGGCTGGGGGTGAGGGGGTGAGTGAAAACAAGTTAGTTATTACATAATTTTGTTTCCCCCTCCCTACTATAGAAATTGTTTTCAGCGATTTTTTATATTTTTTTTGGTTCCTGAGATATAGCCATTGTAAGTTTTTAAAATGTCACCCTGTACAAGACAATTATGTTTCGAAGCAAATAAGGTATGGGAAATGGGAAAACCATATGCGTAGGTATGTAGGTATGCCTACATATTTTTCTTCCAAAAAATAAAAAGCAAAATAAAACATGATGTCTACCAGTTTATTCTGTAATATATTTTATTGCAAATAGATTTTCATTTTTCATATTTATATATTTACACAATTCAAAAATATATTAAAAAAACAAAATTACAAAAAATATAATAATATATAGATATTATACAAATCGATATGAAGCAAAATTACAAATATATTTTCAACTAACAAACTATATCATTGCACTAAACAAATATCATAAAGCTAAATAAATAATTATTTTTACCAATATAATATCTTTGATATGGACCACTTCACTCGGTGCAATGATTAAAAAAAAAAGATTGATACAAATAAAATTATTATGGGCCTTATAACTAAAACATTATAAGGGATTTTTAACCAAAGGAAACCTTAAACAATCACAATATAATTCTGGTATATTGAGCCAAGGTTTATATTGGGGGTCAAAACTTTTCAAAGTATTTAGTAAATAAATACATTTTCAACTGAAGTTTTATTGAAAAAACTTAGAAAATGTAAAAAAAAGTAATTTCAGTACTTAGGTACCTACACAAAAATAAAAATAATTGCCAGACTATTTTTTTAAATACTGAAAAAACACGCAATACTTTGAAAAGTTGATATGTATGCTGTTTCAAAAAATATCCAAAATACAGAAGAGGATGCGAGTATTTTAAAATATGGGTGTAAAAGGTAGGTACATAAGGTAATATGTATATGTTACATTTACGATACATAGATGATATTCTAGTAGTTGTTCTCTTCGTTTTTCTGGACCCTTGGATAAAGCTAAAAAAAACATAATCAGTGAAATATGAGTAATAAAAATTAAAACCTGACTTACCCCCAGTAGATTCCTGGGTACATATCCTTCCTTATCGCCTAATTTGGACCACCACCATTCTCTTTCATTTTCGTCTCCTTTTCTCAACACGGTAAACAGCTGGCCTGCTTTGAAAGTCAATTCGTCCGGCTGTTGGGCTGTATAATCAAATACAGCGTAAACGGTTCCTGTATTTAGGATTCCTAATTTTTCTTGTACACCTGGAATAAATAAGGTTTTATTTAATTTCATAGTCAGTTTGTCACAGTTGAATCTACATATATAAACAGTAACAAAAGTCCTGTAGAAAATTCTTTGCCACTACAACATTTTCATCGTTTGCCGTACTCAATTCCAGTTAGGAAACAGTACCAGGGCATACCTGAAAGTATATTTACCAGCAAGTTAAGTTTATATTATTTTACTGTTGAATTTGATAAAATCTTTTCAAAAACAAATATTTTTGTAGTTAATCCGAACTACAACAATTTGGCGTAGTCGGTAGGATCATGAACATGGGAACAAATGACAGAACTTCTCACAACTTTCGTAAAAAATCAACAAGAATTTCTTATCAAAAGTCAGCAAGATTTTTTGGGTAAGTTTACATAAAATTTCCCAAATTTAACTAAAAATCAAGCGAAACCAAATGAAGACTTTCGGATGGAAACCCTGGGTAATAGTATCACAGAATTTCATTATAATCAGGGAACAGGGAGCACTTTTGATGTGGTACAGAAGATATCAAAGCCTTTTCACAGAAGATGAAAAAAATATTTCAGACCCCACAAAAGTAAGACTTCTCCTAAGAAAATTAGAGTCACAAATCCATGAAAGGTATGTAAATTTCATTTTAACTAAGGAAATCCAAGATTAAACCTTTAGTGAAACTGTGAACAAACTAACCCAGTTGTTTGGTAGAAAAACTACAATTTTTAACACAAGATACCAATGCATGAAGTTGAATAAAAATGAATCGGAAGAATTTATCGCATTTGCTTCACGTGTTAACAAAATGTGTGAAGAATCCAAAATAAATTAAATCACAGAAAAAAATTAGTTTAAATGTTAAAATTTTACTTGTGTCGTAAATTCGAGTGAAGATAGTGGGATACGACTCAGAATTTTGAACAAATTAGATTCAAATAGCAATGATCAACATACATTAGAAAGTTTAAATTCTGAATGTTAGAGGATTGAAAGTATAAAGAAGGACGCCCAAATGATTGCAGATCCGTCTCTCAATGTAAATGCCATTTCGAACAGAAATAAACATTTACAAAATTCAGGTTTCCTCCAAAATTTTAAGTTCAAGCTCAACAATAAACCGTTTCGACATGAGAAATATGCAAAAAATGATTTCCAGAATGGTAATGCAGTTCCAAACAACCCTTGCTGGTATGCCGGCGAACTACATTTTGCAAAATTTTTTTCATTTAAAGAACCCTAATGTCAAAGATGGCATAACGTAGGTCATAAAAGGTTTTGCGATTTCATGAACCAAAATAAAAGTTTTAAGACAATTTATAATACGAGAAATGTGGGGTCGAATGCCATTTATGATGGTAATCATATTGGGTCAACTTCTGAAAGAAGATTTCTTCAAGTCAAAATCAATAATATTCCAATCAGGTTACAAATTGATACAGCTTCAGATATCACGGTTATCTCACAAGAAAAATGGACAAATATAGGAAAACCAGAGTGTCAGCCCAAAAAGCATGATGCCAAAAGCGCTTCAGATGAATTAATTTAAGAGCAGAATTTCAATGTACAATAACCTTCAAACAAAATAGTTTTCAGGGTAAAATGTTTTATCACTTCAATACCTAATCTCAATTTACTGGGTAAAGATTGGTACACAAAATTTGGTTTATGGAACGTACCATTCAATTCAGTCTGCAATGTTGTTAAATCAAAACAGTTTTCAATCAATACAGAATCATTAAAATAAGCCTTTCCCAAAGTTTTTCAAGAAACATTAGGTCACTGTGAAAAAACCAAACTTAATCTTCATATAAAAGAAGATGCAGTTCATGTTTTCAAAGCGAAAAGACCAGTAGCTTACTAGTCATGGCTAAAGTTGACCAAGAACTTCAAAGGTTGCAAGAAAAAAATATCATTAGTTGAATATTCTGATTCGGAAGCTCTAATTGTAGTGACAAAGAAACAAAACGGAGATGTCAGATTATGTGGCGATTACTCTACTGGTCTCAATGAAACACTTCTACCACATCATAACCCTCTTCCAACAGTCGAAGAAATTTTTTCATAGTTACAAAATGCTACAATTTCCAGTATTATTGACCTTGTAATGACCCGGGAAAAATAGACCCGTAATTTACAATGTCTCAACAGTAAAAATTAAATGTAATCAAATAATCAAACATTGAATCTCCAATATTTCAAATCAGTATCAATAAAATTGGAAAATGATGAGACAAATTAGCGTTGACCCCAAATTAATTAAAATATTTATACGTTCAAATTTTAAAAAAGCCAGTGACCATAAGCGCCTGTCATCATTTGAACTCATAAATCAAAACCAGGCAAAGATTAAAAACAAGGGCAAAGCAATTAAATTGGTGACTAAGTGGCAGATTTCATAAACGTCATCGTTTGAGTTACCTCACATTCTTTCAAATCTGTTGACCCCGATAATCCAGGAAATTGCGACATTATTGTTCGGTTTTAAACAAATAAATTATATTTCTAGGAAAAGAAGAACGGTCAAGGGCCAGTGTTGTGTAAAGTGGCCCCGAAATATTTCCGGGGAATGAAAAATATAAAAACAGCAGTTTCGGAATTATGGAATCAGTTTAAGCGGTCTTCAGTTCAGTCTTGAGTTTAAGTCTACAGTACCTAAGAGTCAGTCCGGATAAAATTCGTGAAGAGCTTCTTTTATTTTGTCGCCTTGCAAAAACGCGTTAAATCGAATCTTTGAAAAAGTAACGGAGGAAAAGTGTGAAAGAAAGAACATTTGAATTTGTTCAACATTATGTACGAGCTCTAAATAATCAAAAGAAATTAGAATAATTAAAATGCCCACTTGCACCGTTTTGCCTAACTGATCAGTTTAATTAACAGACAAGTTAAAATTTGAGAGCAGATGCCTTGCACCGTGATTTTTCAGGTAAGGCTCAAAATTTAACTAGGGATCTAGGGAATTTCACTAAAAATCGAGAACATTGGTACTAGTCACAGAACATATCACCTTTAGAAAATTATCTGCAATGTTATGTACCGGTTATGAATTACAGCGCCATCGTTGACTGAAAACCCAACTAATCGAGCATTCTTGACAAAAAGGCGAATTGATTTTTTTCATATATTTTTATTATTTTTAAATAATTTTTAATGTTCAACTGCATTTGGCTTGCTGACTCTGTTACGGTAAATTTATCATTTACGTAACATGTTCCATCTCTTCTTATTTTTATTATAAAGTTGTATTTTTTTCATTTCAGAATTCAAAATAATTTCCAATATTCTAAAAATATCCATTAAATTCAAATAACACAAGTGCCGCCATCTATCCACATTTGCGTAAAATGCTCGGTAAAATGCAAGTATCGAGAATGGACCTTTCTCATTTTACCTGTGCTGCGCGCGCAGCTTGTGGGTGACAGATTATAAAATTGCCATTTGAATGAACGCGGGAACGCGGTCTGACGTTTTTTAAGTTAACCTCAATAATCAATCAATATTGCTGAAAATTATTACAAAAACTGTTTATTATACAATGGTTCAAGTGTGTTGTGTGAGATCTTGTCAGAGTAAGGCGAAAAAGAAGTCAAACCTTTCTTTTCACAAGTTCCCAAGCAATCAAATTTTAAGAAAACAATGATTACATGCTTTCAACCTGACTGAAGACGATTTAAGTTGGAACAGAGTTTTGAGGGTTCGTAAAATAACGATATCTATATCAAATACAATAATAATTGTAAAATTAAAGGTTTGTTAGCACTTGCAAATTCGTACTTCTCAAAGTTTTCTAAACTTTTCCCCCGCATATTTGTCATATTTACATTTAATAATAAACAAAAACAGAAACATAACCGAAATTGGACAATTTGACAAGTGGAACCAATCAAAGTCATTCCACACAGGTATCGCGCGTCATTATATGTGTCTCTTCCTTTATTACATAAATTTTAATAAACTATTCTTGTTGTTCATTGCATGAGAAAGGTACATTGATTTTTTAGTACTGCCATCTAGTGCCCGATGATCGATCTACATATATTTTAAAGTATGATTTCTTATTTGGCATTTGGCAGTAATTTGTATTTTTAATTGAAAGAAATTATATTCATCTCACTTTTAGCAAATGGATATATTTCTGTCCTTTTTTAACTTCTGATTTTTAAATATTCATTTTTGGCTTAATGATCCAATTAATTAACAGTCTTTTATTTACGACTAATGTATAATGTGCGTATTATATTTGTGATTTTGGCAGTATAATGACATATGTTATTCCTCCAGGGATTAATGACGAGTAGCGGGATTAATGGTCATTATTCCACAAAAGTGTCAGTGTCAAACGTGTAGTGCTTGTGGATTTGTATTGAAAATTATGAGACGGATGAAATTTGTTCATTGAAAATCTCAAATAAATTAATTTGTCGTAAATAAAGTAGAGTATACTACTCGCAATAATGGCTATTATTGCCTCGGAATGTTACTCCCTCGCCGCTAACGCGGCTCAGTTCGTAATAATCCTCGGGAATAATAGCTATCATTATTGACTCGTGGTATAATCTACTATTATTTTTGACATAACCTTAATTTAAATTATTATAATTTGTAAACAATTAAAATAGTTTTAGTGGATTTTTATCTATTTTCGTTTATTCCATGCGGTCTTTTCATTGTGTTTTCATTTTGAAGTGAATATGGTCTTTTGAGTGTACTTGTTTGATTGGTTCAAACTGGTTGGAATGCAGTTTGCAAGTATAAAAACACAGGATCGTTTTCCTGCTAGCTTGGTTTTCTAAAACGGCCTCTTCTTGAAGAACACTCTGGCCAGGCAAGTCCACTTTATATTTAAATAATTTTGTGCTGTGAATTTCTGGATCCTCCCTTGTAGATTTTTCAATTTTCAAGTGATCATATCATTATTAAGTTTTTACCTGATAAATCTTATCTTATCTGTTCCTGAAATATAAATATTATATTTTAGGGTTTTTTCTTATCTAATTGTTGGTTTCCATCTTTG